TGGCGTATATCCATACGTGTGCGTGCGCTTGAGTCACTCCTCGTTCCTCCGTTCCCCCAGCCCTCGAGTCGACCCCCACGCGCCACCGCAGCCTCGTCGGGATGCTCCTAGGCCTCCCTTACTCGGTCTTCGTGATGGTGCTGGCGGGCGTCGGGTACTTCGTCCGGACGTGGAAGTACCTCATGCTGGTGTGTTGCGCCCCGGCCCTCGCCCTGCTGCCGCTCTCCTTGTGTGTTGTTTGTGGGTTGTGTTGGCTTGAATTGTAAGAGGATTTTTTTTTGTAGGTGATCGTTGATTATGTATATGGAACGCGGGTTTGCTTGCGAGTGTTAAAGAGAGTTCTTGGCTTAGTTTCGTTTGACTGTAAGTGTTTATATGATTTATTTATCTTAACAATCTATAAAGCACACTAGAATGACAGATAGTATGTACAACTTTTCGACAGCGTAATGGACGAGTCAGCGCGATGGCTAATTCAGCAAAAACGACGAGAAGAGGCCAGGAAAGTGCTGAGGAAAGCAGTGAGGCAGAACAAGGCTAAACTTCCCGTTCCTCTAGAAACGATCATTGGGAATTTGCACCAGGTGATCATCTACTTGTCATAGTTAAATTACCGTAGTCCTTTCCTCTAGAAACCAATTGGGGTAATCGGGCCAGGTAGATCCATCCTTTTGTCCCTTACTGTAGTCTGCTTAAGGCAGTTAACTATCGCAGTTAATTTAGCGTAGTCCTTACCGCAAAAAAAAAAAAATAATAATAATAAAAAAAAAAAAAAAAAAAAAAAAAAAAAACACGGTAGGATATTTGGATCAGGCTAGTCCAATAGCACAAATATAAACTCTCCTTCACACAGATATACGACAGCGAATATTTGCAGCGTGAATGCATTGCCGAAGACAACCAGTCTGCTGTAAGGAAGTCTCTCAAAGAGGCGTGGGAGTACCTGCAATCCCCCGCCATGAGGACCATCATCCTCGTTACGCCCATTCTTTGGTTTCTCCAGAGCTGCCTCTATCTTGCAGTCGCCATCAACGCCAACAACTTTAACAGGTAAGAGACATAAATATAATTATTTTTTTTGAACCCACGTTGCGAAATAAAACTGCGAAGGAAAAAACAGTTTATGTGCATGTACTTGCGTATTCCTTTTTGCTATATTTTTTTTCTTTATATTACCTTGCACAATTATATATGGTTATATGAAAGCAGATCCCATATGAATTATGTATCACTAGAATACAGTTAATGATAACTCAAAATCATCTTTCTCTTTAGTAAAATATTATTGAGACGTTAAGTTAAGTTCTTATAATTGTTTCTGTGGTCGAAAAACCACCAGCTAATATTTTTTTTTGTACTTAATGAATAAAGATCTGTTAATGATTTACTGTTTTATTTGGTTTCATTTACTGGTTTCTCTCAGACTAACGAACAACAAGTGGGTAGGTTTTGTTTTAGCAAAGATAATTACGATTTTTAAAATCCGCTTTTGCCTTCGTGGAAACTCTTCGCTCTAGAGCAGCTATTTATAGATAATGATGATCGGTTCTAAGCCACGCACTCCTCTTTTTTAAAGGCTAAGAATCAAGCTACCATCTTGCGAAAAAAAAAATCATTTGGCAGGCGGAGGCTGTTACCCCGCGCGAATGGCCTTCCTAAACCCAGACCGTCGATCTGCCACATCTCAAACTTAATGCTGCTAATGAGACAGTTACATCATTACAGACTCTTAAAGAAGATTATTGATTGCAGTAATAAGATAAACAACATGCTTATATGACGATGACGATGATATTAGACATTTTATATATCAAATTGTAACCTGGTTAGTCGCACTAATTTTCAACGTACTGCGACGCCACAAATACGAAAAATGAAACGCCGATTTGGAGGTCAATTGGCATCAACATGATTAGTGTTTTATACTATCAAAATTTGATGCATTTTGAACTCCAGTAATAAGATACGTAAACAGATAAGATGCAAAAGAAATAAGGTACATAAATAAAATAGCATGATAAAGCATAAGATACACAGATACGTAAGTATAAATAAGATATGATAGATAATAAGGCACACAAAAAGATATCAAAATAAAGATTAAGATACATAATAAAAAAAGGAAAAAAAAATTATACATTGACTCTCCAAAATCCACCCTTAAAAATTTCCCACAGTTCTAGCCCTTTCCTGTACGTGTGTCTGAGCGGAGCAATGGACGCCTCAGCCATTCTCCTGGTCACGCCCCTGACGACTCGCCTCGGCAGACGCGTCATCGTGGGCGCCGGACTCTTCGTGGGCGGAATCTTCTTTCTTCTTGATCTGCTCGTCCCAAGCGGTAGAGCGAGAACGAGGGCTTGGTTATAATGTCTCTCTGTCTATCTGTGTATGTGGCTTCGTCTATATCTTTGTCTATATATGCATATATATAGATATATATGCATATACATATGTATATGTATCATATACACACATGCATGTGTATATATGTATATGTGTG